CGCAACTAGTTAGTAGCTACCTACTATATAACAGCTTACGCCTTTTGCTCGTATAATAATATAATTGAATGACACTATTTTTTTGTTTCGCAGTTATGTAATTATTATAATTGTAAAATATACAGATAATTTAATTATATATAAATATATATTTTTTTTTTTTTTTTTGGAAATTTATGATATATTACATTTTTAAAAACACGAACTACCTCCGGGAGTGAATTCAAATAAACAACTTTAACTATACCGTCCACCTGTATTTGGGAGTCGATTTCACACGCCCATGTAATAAAGTATAATAATTCAATATTATATCTTGTAAAAATTTTTTATCAAAATCAACAGTACCTACACATATGGAATTAGTACTAAAAATGTATTTGTTTTTAGAACTACTCGAATAACGGTAAATTTCTCAGAGCTTAAATTGTCAATCTTATGTCACTATGTCACACCAAAAACAATTACTCCTACAGTCCTAACTGTATCGAATGAGGGGAAAGCCATCTCTCTATATCATTAGTAGACCACGTAAGTCTCATACGATTCTATTATTTACGTGCTGTATAACGGTAGGTAATCATCTTGCAAGTTATAAGGCCATAAGGGATGTACTATCTCTGAAGAACTCCAACAACGGCGTAAACAGACATAGTCAACCGCAAGTCATTCACATATACCATAAACATATATATCAATCATACGATTATGTGACAGGTAATGAACACACAAGTTAAATCAACTGAATGCTCTTTTTAGCCAATTCATACAACATATTTTATATATTTTAAGATGAGTTTAAATCTATAACTAATCCTCTAATCCCTTTACTCGCCATTCTGCTCACAACCAATTTTAAATTGATAAAATCTAAATATTATAAATAAATCGTATTCCTCAAACTCTCTTGTTATGATATGGAATCCTACACTCGAAACGATCTCAAAATAAAAATAATAAAAAAGTGGTATATATAAGACAATCTAGATTTTATATCATTCCATACATAACGATCTATGTAGTATATTAATTTAACACGTAAAACTATATTATGACGAAGTATCCGCACAAGAAGGCTTCTCCATACTTATTTTTCATGTAATTATTTATTGCATTGATTAACCTACGAGTACTTCACTGATTATTTAGTTTTTGTAACAGATAACATATAAAAAATGTATTTAAAATTAAGTGTTTTGAACTTGTAACTTTGTAAATAAATAATGGTTTTTTTTTTCGTATGTTACATGATATATTTTTTTAAACGTCAAATTTCAACGCAATTATACCTGATATCTAATTTATTAATTTATACATTGCAAATATTTCACCAAAATATATAATAATAATTCTAAGATACTATTTTAGCCTTTAGGAGATATTTTTGATCTAGAGTATGGTCACATAGTATCGTAACAAATCAACGAAAGCATTCTCACTTCTGAGCAATTTATTATGCGATATTTTAATATACATATTATATATTATATAGTACATGTATATTTAAGTGGGAAATTTAAATCGATAAAAATAAGAATGGTCCTCTCACTCAACTAGCGATTGAGGAAGTAATTTAAAGACGGAAGATTTGTACATAACTATTAAATAGCAATAACTAATAAACAACAATAATGTTATACTAGAGTCTAAGATATTATTCTTCGTTTATTACCTATGTAAGTTACGTCACATATCGAATAGGGAACGTAAGTATAGTGTCGGTCATCGATCTTTATACTTGCGGGTATATGACGCATATTAGTAAAAATATAATACACTATAATACTATATATATTTTTCATTCAATAGATGCTGTTGTTTGTGATTTCGGGCAAAAAAACTTTCGTTGCTACTTGCCGCAGATTGAATAAACGATTATTTAGGTACATGAGTTTTATTATTCGTTTTAGTTATATACTAGGTATCAATATAGTTAGTTATTGCGTTATTAAAATAATTTAAAATATAGAATAATAATAATAATAATAATAATAATAATAATATATTATGATGTGGTATAATTTTTTTGATTAGCACTAACCTAACCTTGTGTACTAAGTACACTGTACTTACAGAAAACACGCGTTAGATGATGTAATATAATACATTCAGAGTAATTATACTATTACTATAAATCGCCACTTTATCGGTAAATGTGTTAAATTTTTTTATATTTTAAAATACAATTTTAGTCATAATAAGTTTTGAGTAGTATACTTCTTAGAAATTTATTATAATTTAAATTTTATGATTTTAATGGTGTAATATAACGGTACACCTCAATTTATAAGAAACTATTCTGTATTATATCGATATAATACTTATTCGGAAATTTAAGCTTTTATGTTGAAATTTAAATCATAAAAAAACAATATTCTTCTTAGGAATTTTAAATAAAAAATAAAATATATTGTAGTTTTTAAAAGAAATAAATTTAAACAATTTATAAAAGAATAAAAAAAATTTTTTTTTCAAAAATGGTGATCGATGAATTAAAATTATGTAAAATATTAATATTATTTTTCGAAAATCTGATACAAATTAAATAAATTTTTTGTTGTGGAGATGATGAGTATAATGTACCTAATGGGGTTATTGTCTAATATATTTCCATAATGTACATACATTATACATAATGTTATACCATAATATTAAATATTTAAAATGATTAGAAGACTTTGGTCAAATATATTACGTAGTGTAATCTACGCGGTGGTATCATTAAGACTATTATTCATATGATTGACTTATTAAAATAATATACAATCGATATTATGAAATCTTATGATTCTATATTAAAAACAAACAATATTATGGATGTATTATTTTAAAACCGATTTGTTATCAATATTAGTGCGATTTATGTTTCATTAATACCTAACAATTATTAATTCAACGCATTGATTTTATATGTATACAATAGCAATATAAAATATAGTGATACTTAAAACCGATCGTTATAAATTTTAAAACCTAAGCAATAAAACAATAAACGTTGACAATTTTTTAAATAAACGACTTAGCTAGCATATTACATTGCTCAATACTTTTGCCATTTCTAAACGTACACAATGTACATTCTTAATTAATATCCTGACATACGAGACATATATAGAAATAATATTACATAGAAATCAATTTACAAAAAAATATACTAAAAATATACAACCCAATTAGGTGATAACGTGATGTATGGAAATTTTAGCAAACTTTTTTATTAAGCTATTAAAATTAGAAAATCAAGTAATATGAATCATATTAACTGATCGGATAACCTGTAAGTAAGGTCTAAAACCATAAAGTTGTATGCAATATTATGTTAAGTTCAAAAACTATTCATTAACATAAAAAACATATTATTGCCGAATAGTGTAGATAAAAGTTAGTTTTGTCTTTCTTGCTTCAGAATTTTAAACAATTGGACGCATGCGAGTGGTCATAATTTGTTAATAATAATAGTTTTTTTTTTTTTTTTATAGAGAATGATAAAAATAAACCTTGTTAAATTTTAAACGATATTGAGAAATGAAAATATGCGTGTGTCGTAATACATTATGTATTTATGTGTACAAAATCGTTCCTATTTTTGTATAAAGCCACTAAATTAATTGCTTAACTCAATTTGTTTTTACTATATGATATACAACGTTATTACCAGTACACTGGTTCCAGTCTAAAACTTTTTAAGTTGTATCTATAGGTACATCTACACTATCTAATCAGAATATCGCGTACGTCATAATTATAACCCAAGTCACGCGCTCTTTATTATCATAATCGTCAAACAAAACAACACAGTGTAGCACTGTTGTTTCGTCGTATTGAAACCATATTTAGGTATAACAAAAACAAAAATACCGAAATGCGTAGAGCATTATTTTTGCATAAATCTAATGTTTTTTTTTCATTTTTTAAAGCACATCCGGTCATCATTCTATTAGAAACATCATTGAGGTTAACCGGATAAACTATAAAATAATATTATGATACGTTCTGTGTCTACTAATTGAGTCCCGGTATAAAAGAAAAATATACCAATTGAGTTCGCACTTGGAAAAGTAAAATAAATCAATCGAGTTCGTATAGATTTTTTTTTTATTATTTCATATCTATATGAGAGATCGTTTATTTCTATGATCCTATAGGTTAATACGAAAATACGAATGTTATTTAACACTAGATTAGTACTAACAAAAATACATTTTAACTAAAGAAAACAAAATAAAAAAATAAAGAAACTATTACAAATAAAACAATGTATCGAGATTGTAATAGCGATACATTAAAAGTTTATCACTCGAGTTTTTTTTTAATACAAGGCGCATTTGTTATTTTAAGCAACTTAATAATACAATAATATTATGTTATTAAATATTTCTAAATTAACGTAAAAAAAAAAAATTTAATTTTTAAAACCACGTCCTAAGATATTTTTCTTACAAACAGCTCTCAATTATTTGTAAAAATGTTAAGGAAAATGCTTTTTCAAAGTTTAAAGGACTCGGTTAGTATAAAAGTTATGAACTCAAATAATACCTATTGTATTTTAAATATTTTATTACTCTATTCATAAAGGTACCGGAGACAATTCGGAACTCAATTCGTTCAATACCTAAAAGGCTTTTTGGTACTCGGTTCGTAATCGACTATTTCGTTTGTACTACCGCAACAGGTATAATAATACGAGTATATTATATACGTAATCGGCATTAAAATTATCTACCATAATATTTGAGTAGGTTTGAGTGGTTATCTGGCAACAGATATATTTCGTTTGCTAATAACTATAATAAGTACCCCGCGGTTCAATTCCTCGAATATCACGCCCCCCCTTTCCACGTTTACTCCTACGGATGACGGTACCTATAATCCTTACACGGTGCACCTTACTACTAAAAGGGAGAATCGCGTACCCCTCCGTCGGGGCGTATTTTCGAGTATCTACATCTACCATGCGGCTTGGGAGTTGGGATATGATATTGTGATTTGCCACGACTTACCTAAAAGCCAGGGCGAGCTTACACTCCAGATACCGGATCATGGAGTTGAGGAACGTGGCGGGCAGGGCGCACAGCAGCCACTTGAACAGCATCCACCCGAAGTTGGGCACGTCCCTGCGGACGATGAACTTGACCATTTTGCCCTCCATGGTGGCAACAAATATGGACATGAACGTGCGGCACACCAGGGCCACAGTGTGCATGGACAGCAGACCCACCTCGGGCGTCCAGAAACCGGGCACCATGAGGTGGAGCAGCTTCTTGAGCTGGACCAGGAACTCGCGGTTGATGCCCGGCCCGGCGGCTCTCGTCCTTTTGCCGCCGGTCCCCGATCTCTTGCCGCTGCCGCCGCCGCCGCCTATCACGGCCACGGTGGAAATGGCCGTGGTGGACCCTTTGGTGTTGTTATTGTCGTTGGACTCGCCCGACGGTCGCCGCGATCCGCCGCCGTCGGGTGCCTTGTCGCCCTTGCCGCCACCGTCGGCGCCGCAAACTTTCAACACGATTGGGTAACCGATCTTGCAGCCGTACAGCAGCACGGCCGCGGCCACCACGCCCTTGCTCACGTTGTCCCGACGGATGATCCGTCCGTCCAGGTACTTGGATATGACGGCCGGCATGGTTGCGACGTGCGGTCGCGGCGGTGTGGCGCTGGCGGTAACTCGGCCGGGCGGCAGTCGGTTCTCGCGGACAAAGCGGCGTGCGTAATAGTCGCGCGACAGCGGTCTTCTATACGCAGGACGTCCTGTCTGCGCTGTTGTCAAAACGGTATTGACGACGAGTCGCACGCGTCAACGGTCATCTGTGCGCGCCGATGCGATACCGGACGTCCGGACGTGAGAGACCGACACCGATATAATAAATAATATTATTATTGCCGGTCTCGCGAGCGTGTGTCGTACGCGGAGACGTGTGCGCGCGAACGACGGCCGATCGGACCAATCCGGTCGGAAGTGGGTAATGATACGACAAAACTGGAAAAATACAATTTTATTGCAATACGACGACTGATAACACAACGAGACGATACGGTGATAAACGGAGACGCGAACGAAACAAAAAACCGCAAACGTACAACCGACCAGACTGCGCGTCGGAGTCGACGTTGCTACTGAACGATTCGGCGCGCACACGAGTACGGGCGCGTAGTGGCGTGCGTGTGTGTTTCGCGCGCGCGCGCGCGCTACCCACTCGCCGCGCCGTCTTATCCGCCGTGCGACGGCTCGGCGGCGGGTGGCGGTGGCGACCGATGCGCGCCCGACACTCCGTACGCGCCCGCGCGCCAACGTCCGTTTTCCACAAGCCTTACTCGCCGCCGCCGCCGCCGCCGCCGCCACCGCCAGCACGTCACGACACCTCGCCGCACATCCATACCGCCGCCTTACCCGTCGCCCCCACCGCCCCGACGACGTTTGAAGAGTCGGTCAACTCGTTTTTTACCATATATTAGAGCAGGCGGCGGCGACGGTGGCGACGACTCTTCCTCGCCGCTTCGTTCGTTACGATATCGTTGTTTACGTTATTTTATTTCACGAAATTATAATAAAATAATATTTTTACAATGCGGACCGGCACCGCTGCGGAATGAAACGGTAATAATATTATATATAAGTACTTGAATAAATTAAAATGCGCAACTTTTGACTCGCGATTATTATTGTGCGCGTGGTATAATACGAGGGGGGAGGGGGTATGTGTGTCCTACATGTCTGGACATCCCACGAATAAAAAAAAAAAAAAACGACCCGACGTTTTTTAGTATTTTACTCGTGCAAAGCGCCTAAGTGAAATTAATTTTGTTCGATCCCGCGACACGTTTCGAGGTATATTTTCAACCTAAGTTTACAGTGTATGTGGAATATCCAGGAATTATTCGAATTTCAACAAATCGTTAAAAGATATTTTGGAGACCCCCCCAAAAAATTACCCAAAACACGCCGCTGTGTGAGGAAGGATCACTAGGGACCCATCATGTCCCCCCTTAATTGGCTGTACCTATACGAATATATTATGTATTATTTTATCAAACATTCTGTTTTTAAATTACTAACAAAAACATGGATGTTGATAAACCAAGTGTACATTTTTAAACAGTGATAATGACAATACAACGAAATTAGTTATTTTTGTGCCCTCCCCTCTCCATTATATTTTATTTCTAAGTACGCTCTCGGTTAGGTCTTATGCGTGGCGTACAATTAATCCAATAATATAATATTAATAATAAGTAATAATTGTTGTACGTGACTGAAGTTTATGTACAAGAAAAATTAATAATACAATAATATTAATTATAATGTATTTGTGTTTTATAGACATTGAATTTTACAGATATATATATTGCTTAGTTATATACTTATATCTCTCTATCCATCATATAAAATAGTATTTAAATGTAGATAATTGTTTATTATTTTTTGTACTCTAATGACATAAGTTGTTAATGCTGTACTAAGAATAATAAAAAATAAATAAACATAATAATATAGCCCTTTAAAATTATAACATAAAAGAATTTTAAAAAAATCTTGTTTCCACCTCAAGTAATCAAGTACGACATGTGGTGAAATTGGAAAATTGCCATCGCTTTTTAGATTTTGGACGAAGCGATAAGTATATTGATTTTGCATGTGGTTTTCTTTTTTTATTTATATCAGTCATCACTTTTCTGAACAGTAAAAATGTTTAGATTCTTAACCACAATATCTTTTCTATTAGGAAATTGAATTCAGTTGGTGCTTTGGGGTCTAAAAACAAAACCAAAAATGTCTTTAAACTTTTCTTGATAGCAAAAACAAAAACAAAAAAAATATATACGAGAAAACAGAAATGTTTATGCAAAACCATTAATTTTATAATTATTCAAAAACTAATAATTGTGAATGCTTAAAATATACGACGTAAATTAAATTTTCTATGCATGATGTGGTTTTCAAAATATTTTTACTCTTTATAGGAGCTATCTATAGATATTTAAAATTTAAAATCTCAGTAAGTACTTATAGGGAGCTATATGTTTACCCTATCGCAACCGACAGATAATAAAATTAAATTGGTATAGCAACCTCGTTTAAATATGTTTTAATCGAAATAAAAATGTATTAACATTTTTATTACTAAATGTTTTTTCGTTCAATGGAAAAATACTAAATACCTAGCGCCATATGTTTAGGTTTTAATTTTTTTTCTCTAAATATCGATTCAAAATTTTTTTTTTGTTTAAAGAGCTTAAAAATGTAATTCGAAGTTCTTAATAAATTGTAATTATTGGAATTAGAAAAAAAAAGTTAACCGTTCTTCCACAATTTATTTTTTGAGATATAAAATTTAAATCATATTAATTTATAGATCAGTGTTTAAGTAAATAGTAAAACAATTTTCGTTATTTCGTACCATTTCAATAATATGATTCGTAGTGACTTGGAATTTTTACCAATATCATATTTTGTATACCTACACAACAATATTTTCAAAACATTTACTTAATTTTTAAGCTTTTATTACCTATTTTTAATACGAACCTGTCGAACCTATAAACACAATTCTATGTTAAGGTGATATTAATTCAAAAGTTAATAGTATTACATATCACGTCATAAAAATATGTTATGTACTCTTATAATTATGAAATATTACCAAATAATAAAATAAAATATGAAATATTTTCATCGAAAAATAAATCAATGCCTAAATTGTATTACTAATAGTGAAATAAGCTACAAAATATAATACTTTAATAGCAATATTTATGTAGGATAAAGTATTTTACTCAGAAATATAAGCTGATATATACCGTGGTCTTCGTTCAAAATTGTTTTTCATATGCAATAATTTATCATTGAATTCTCATCTAACATACACATTACAGTGACTAACTCTATGATAATTACACTGAAGCCTACAATACAGCAGAGTGATTACATATACTTCTCCATTTTTTTTTATTTTGGTCTTTACGAGAATAAATAATATGTTGGTAAAGCCGTGGAAACAAAAAGTTGAGACTTAAAGAAAGAAGGTTTAGAGGGTAATAGAGCTATTATAAATTTAATCACTTCCTAGTTTTAAATTAAATTTAAATGTGTGGAATATAACGAGTAATGTTATATAATTTAATATCACTCAAATTATGTCTGTGACAAATCCGCCGTCACCGTTGCTACGCAAGTCTAGTATTATATGTATAGTAACTACTAACTATAGATTAATACATTCGTGAAAATAAAAATGCCCATTAATTAAAATAAATGTTTGGAAATATCTATAGGAATAATATATTCATCATCGGATATATTGCGTATTATTTTAAATGTATGGATTAAAATAAATATTCATAAATTATTATATTTATTTAAAGTATGGTACGATAATAATTGATCATGGTTTTTTTTTAGTAGGTACCTATATTGATTAATATAAATTAAAATATTATATTTTGAAAACAATCATTCGAATTTTAACTAAAAAGTTTTTGGCGATTTAAATAAAGAATCGAAGCAACCGAAAAATACCATTAAATATTTAATAAGGCTTTAAATTCATCGTTAAATTTTTTTTTTTATAACCACCATTAAACTTCATTATTTTACTTTTTTGTAAGCATTAAACATCAGCTAGTAACAATAACTGCATTGTATATCTATGCCAATCAATAATCATGAATAAATGAATCATTTAATTTATATCTACCACCATTAGAATTTTAAAAAGGCTGTCAACCCCATTTTACACTCGCATTTTAGAAAAGGTTATGGTTTGTTTGCGCACATTTTGAAAATTAGGCAATACTCGTTATATTTAGCTTTGTATACTGCAAAATCGGAATAACATAATAAGTAGGTGCCTAAAAGTGTATTGTATACACTATTAAATATAGTTTTAGTCTATTCATGTGCCAAGGTAAGTAATAAATGTTATCCAAAGATAGACAAAGGTGACGAATCTTATTGTGTATGTATGTTTTAATTGTTTTAAAATATAACATAAATTCTATGCGCGAATAAATGAGGTTATCAATATTCATGTTTCATTTTTTAAATATATGCAAATATATCATGACTCGTGCAATTTTCAAAGATGTGTGAGCAAGCGGTGCTATTAGAAGCTTTTTTAACATAATGGTTAAGTACAAAAAAGTTGCATTATGTATAAAGATACCATATAATACATTATTTTAGTTTTTTTTTTTTTTTTAACGAAACTTATGTGTAGAAATCATATAATTATTGACTATTGATCAAAGCAAAAAATCACTAGCTGGTTTATTACTATGATAGCTATATTATAATTCATATAACCAATGATAATTAAAAATTGTATTTATTTATTAATTATATCATCAAACATAAAGATGAAAAGTATCTACATAGTGTACATATATATATATATATATTTATATATATATATATATAATATTTATATGTAATATGTATGTTTGAAAAGGTTAGATGAGTGAGTACTACTCTACTGAACATTCGGTTTTGAGTAAGTCACTATTATATTATGTCTGTAAAATTTAATTTCAATGATAAATCGTTCTATACAAAACGATTCTGAGCGAAAACGGTCCATCAGCCTATATCACTAAGTGATAATGTTTTTTTGATGAAGCTATTTGTCG